AGATAATTCAGATACTTTAGGATTTATTTGCCAGAATTAGGGGGAATTTTGTTTTTTTTTCCTAAATAATGTCTGTCAAGTTAAAGATTCTCATTTTTTTTTAAAGTAATTGACCATGTCTTAGGGGATATTTTCACAGATGTTCCTGTTGGCTTTCTTGTTTAACAGAGGACAATAGAGAGCTATGTGGATAAACGCATGGGTACAACATATGGCCCTCCTGCAGGAAAGAAGATGACTGTTTTTATTGATGATGTGAATATGCCAATAATCAATGAGTGGGGAGATCAGGTATATTGATTCTATTGTGTATTTTATTTCTTTAATTCAGCATTGATTTATTCTTTGATGAGTAAATATTTTTCTACTTTTTCAAGATGCAATTCCTGAATTCCAGTGAAGTCTATTCTTTAACAACACTCAAGGAGTTAGGTTCTGGGGATATGAGGAATGATGTTTTAATTGTGAAAGTTGTCTTTCTTAGGTTACTAATGAGGTAGTAAGACAGCTGATGGAACAAAATGGATTCTACAACCTGGAGAAGCCCGGAGAGTTTACCAGCATTGTGGACATCCAGTTTTTGGCAGCCATGATCCATCCTGGGGGTGGGCGCAATGACATACCCCAAAGACTCAAGAGACAGTTCTCTGTATTTAACTGCACGTTGCCCTCTGATGCTTCCATGGACAAGATCTTTGGTAAAATGAGCGTCAATGGGGCATGGGGAGGGAAGAACACCTGCTTGTGTTCCTATGGGAAATCTCGCCCATGAGGTCAACACAGAAAAAGCATTGGGTAACGCCTTAGTCTACAGCCCCCATCACTTTCAAGTCAGATATTTCATTTCATACAGGGATTTTTTTCTAGATATGTATTAATTGGATGACTAGGTGGATCTTTTCTGCCTATGTTTTTCTTTAACTGTTGCCAGCTTATTAAACAGACAGCTTAAACGTTAAATGAACATGGAGATGAGATTGTTTTCACATAGATGAGATTGTTGCCTTATAGGTACATGTATTTGCAGTCTGAATTGCTATATACTGTGTCAAAAGTTTATGTAGCTGATACTTTAATCAACCTATGTAATGATTTTTGCCAAAGAAATAATGGTGCAAAGGGCAGAGATTAGCCATAGTCTGATCTTCAGAGTAATTTACAGGATGAAAATGAGCTTTGTTTGATTAAATATGTAGTATTTCGGAGATAATTTCACTGAAGAAGCACTAGCCCAATAAATAACCGTA